CCCCCCCCAGATAACACAGCAGGAATCATGACTCGAAAAGATGGGTATAGCCGCTACAAAATGAGCACCTATCTACTACCAATTTTGATCTTTGACAACGATTATCCAGTTCAAAGCAGCACTGGCACGCTCACGATCCGCGTGTGCGCCTGCGATGGCCAAGGGAACATGCAGTCCTGCAACGCCCAGGCCTTGCTCCTCTCAGCCGGCCTGAGCACCGGGGCCCTGGTGGCCAGCCTTCTCTGCGTGGTCATACTCCTGGGTAAAGCGACGCCCCAATGCCATTCAGCCCTCAGCACTGTCCCCCGCACTGCCCTGTGGCCCTGCGCTGCAGAGCAGTCTTCTCTATAGCTAAAGATGGGATATATATATATATATAAATTTTTTTTTAAATCTCCTTTCAACTAGAAAAAGAATCGTTTTGTTTGTGGGGATAGGTCTAGCATTCTAGGGATCAAAAACAAGGGTAAAATAGCTAGTGATATTTTACATGAACTGATTTTTTTATCTTATTTTTGTACTCTTTAGTGCTAAACATAGTCACTATTCTAATGAGCTTTAATTTAATAATTGATTTAATTTTTACATCAACTCTGTAAGGTGAATGCTTTTATTTTTATCTACAGAAAGGCTAAACAAATTACACAAGTCACCCATTTAGAAAGTGTTTAATTACCATTAAGACCCAGATTATTTGGATTCAGAATTCTTCTTTCTAGCTATTCTCAAAACTAAAGACTACCTTTATAAATAATATTACTAACAAATACTAAGTTATGCCTATCAGACAGCAAACATATTTAAGTTGTCACAATAAGATAAATATTTTTTTCATAAAATTTGTTATATGTAGGTGTAATACACCATTTTAAAATCTTATGTTCATTTTTTTAAAATATCACTATAGAATATCTATACCTGCAATATTTTCTAAATAAGGTCATGTTTCCAATAGCAAATGTTTTATTTGAGCATGCCCTAACAGGACAACGATTTAATTCAATTAAGCAGTTGTTCCACTGTAAAACATTACCACAAAATTGTTTCCAACAAATATGCATCCAACATGCTCATGCTTAGGGCAGGATAGCTAGCCAAATTTATGTTCCAATGCCCATATGTGCTGGCTCCTTTTCATTGCAAATCCTTTCAAGCTATCTGGATGAAATCCCTTTGGCCAGATATCCTTGCAGGACTTCAGTGGGGGATTGATGAAAGTGAAGGGAAACCATTATTTCTCAGTTAAAAATGATCCAACTATTTAGAAAAACATTTTTTCAGGGTGTTAGAACATACACACTACTACCATCACCATCAGCAGTCAGCATCTCTACCTGCTGCTAGAAAGTTCAGCTCTTCAGTAAAATATTTTTGTATCCCCCATTGAGATTAAATTTTGGCTTGCCCTTTTAGCAAAATGCTACTTTTATGCTTTTCAAATTGTTTTATTTGCTCAGATAGTTCTAATTTCCTAAATAAGAACATGAAATTATGTGTATTTCAAACTTGATTTTTTTATTCTTATGTTAATATTATACATAAACATATATAAAGACATACATGCATCCATGGGGGAACAAAAGCACCCCCCCAAGTAAGTTTAGATATTACAGCATTATCACACTAAACTGTATAATATTTTCAAACCCTAGAAGGCTTCTTTCATTCTGAAAATTCTGCCACCTTTCATTCCTTAGCAATATAGAAGGCACACATTTATTGTTCACCCTTCCCAACTTATGCCTATTGTGAAGTGATTTTTCTATTATTTTAATTAAAATTGGTTAGAACCAGATAATAAACCTCAGGAGGTTTCATTATCAAAGTTCCAAGGCAGTCTTGTTGCTATTTTGAGGCTATATCCTGATGGCTGGACAGAGTTACTGTACTTCTATAGTTAAGAGAGTCTGTTCTTTGCAAGATAGTGATATAGCATCGGCATTAATATTTTAGACATACTCTATTACAGTTGGAAGAATGGTTTCTTAGTTTATATCCATGTTGCAAGGCTAACTAGGGGATAAACAGCTAGAGTAGGACTTTTTAATCTTTTTGGTACCTTGGACACCTCTGGCAGTCAAGTAAAGCTTATAGGCCTAGTTTGAATAATAATTTAAATTTACAGAAATGAAATATATAAAACAAAACAAAATGTATTTGTCAATTGAACAAAAAACACCAAAAAATGAAAAATGTGCTTGACTGTTGTCATATTGCCTTGTTCTGGTACAAGTCTAATGATCATTTGAGATATGTCATAACTATAATATAAAATAAGGGATTTCTATTGATTTAATAGTCACACATACTGTAACTATAGTTTATGCTAAAATTCAAAATAGAAAGAAATACTAAATTCCAGTTGTAGTTTAGAGAAAATAATGATACATTTTTTCCCTTCCTTATCACATACCCAGATTAATAATCTCAGTTTAGGGAAAAGCAGCAGATAATTTTGACCTGGCAGAGAAGAAAACACTAAGAATAAGTCCTAAGGATCATTTGTGAGAATTAGTAAACAAAATATTAGCTAATAAATATTTAAAATAATTGGACTATATAGCTGTTTTATTTATAAAAGAGCAATAAATTTATAAATGAATATACTCATTATTAAATTTAGAAAGAACCCCTTTTTCTATTGCATGGTTCACTAGATTGTTGGATTTCAAATAGTGTTGGATTTAATTTACTTTTATCTTGTTTTACTGGAGTACAGTTATGTCTCATCTTTACTGAACAGTTTTTTAAAATTGTCTCCAAGATGATTCTGGATATAGCTCAGCACTCAAAGCCCATTCTGTGGAGCTTAACTAAAGATGCTTCTAAGGATTTTTAAAAAATTCTTTCTACCAATCAGTAAGAGCTGAGGAACGTGTGGTGGCAGATATGACAGCAGCATTGGACAGGCTTTTAGTGGATTATAAAGGCCTCAAGGGCCAGTGTGAAGAACAGTCTCGATGTAAATGAATTCATTTTGTATAACCTTGAAACAAAGATTGAGAAAAGAAACAATAGATTTTTGAGCCAACATTTTCTTGTTTTTCAGTGAAATATGAGTGGTATTAACAAAACGTTTAACTGCCCTGAAGTAAGGGAAACCTATTTGTTATTTCTTTCAGGCAATGTGTAAGTGTGCTTTGGGAAAATTTCCTTTAATTATTCACCTTTTTTTTTTTTAATTTATCTTTATTGATTTCAGAGAGAGGAAAGGAGAGGGAGAGAGAAAGAGAGAAACATCCATGATGACAGAGTCATCGATGGGCTGCCTCCTGCACGCACCCAACTGGGGATCGAGCCCACAACCCGGGCATGTGCCCTGACCGGGAATCGAACCCCGATCGCCTGGATCCTAGGCCGACGCTCAACCCTGAGCCACGCCCGGCCGGGCTTCACTTTTCTTATGTATAAAATTAGGGATGGGGTCCATTTTCAATGGAAATTTATATTTGGAAACATCATGTTTTCTTTTTGTTTCAATGTATGTTTAATTGCATAATGTATTTGTTTTATGCATGTTCATTGTCAAATATATGCGTTCCTGAAATTCCAGTAATATAATGAAAAATAAGAAAGTAAGTATATCATATGTGGGGAAGTTTACAGTTAACTTGATACTATAGACATATATAGGTAAATATATAAGTAAGGATAGAGGTAAATAATAAAAACAACACAGAAAATACAGGGAGTACAATTAACATTTTAGCCAAAAAGCTTGAATGCAAAATACAATAATGACTTACATTTCAGATCTTCAGCAGGCTTTCAAAACCAGAGCAATAAAGAAACGTAAGTAAGCAGATATGAGCTATGGAAAGGGCAGAGATCAGTAGCACATACATATTTATGTACTTGTTATACCTATTTGTTATTAGTTATATATTATATGTTGTATATATACTTACATATATATACATATATATACATATGTATATATACGCATACATATACATATGCATTATATAGACACAACAGATGTATAGAATGCACAAATACATATATACGCACATATATGAGTAATACTTCACGTATATTCCCTTGAGTCATTGAGAAAAATAACCAACTGATGCTAAATTTCTCTTGGCATAATGATTACTGTAGTTTTAAAATTTCAGTATTTTCAGCCCGGCGGGCGCGGCTCAGCGGCTGAGGACCAGGGCGACCGGGGTTCGATCCCCGGTCAGGGCACAGGCCCGGGCTGCGGGCTCCATCCCCACTCGGGGGCGTGCCCGAGGCGGCCCATCGATGACTCTCATCATGGATGTTTCTCTCTCTCCCTCTCCCTTCCTCTCTCTGAAATCAATAAGGAGCTTTTTAATAAAATAAAATTTCAGTATTTTTGAAGCCATGCTCATTTGGGAGGAGTGATACCACACGCCGCAGCTGGCTAAATGCACGAGCTGGGCCTGAATAAAGCGTTTCCAGGGCCTGGGCGCCCAGCAGGGCGAGCGCAGGGGGCGCCCCGAGCTCGGGCGGCTGC